AAATTCATGCGCCAACTGCAAAAGCTAGTGAAGAAGAAACTGAATTCTGGCAATGTCTTCAGTCTGAAATGGATCAAACATGCTATCAAGATCCAGTGGTAATTGTTGACAATTGAGATGCAAAAGTTGGAAACAAGAAGGAAGAGTAGTTGAAAACTATGGACTTGGTGACAGACGAAGCCACACAATGATACATTTTTGCAAGACCAACAACTTGTTCATGTGGTAAGAAATGATGGAGATTATCAGCAGCTAAAACCAGGCCAAGGGCTGACTGCAGAATAGACCAACTTCCTCATCTGTAATTTCAGGTTGAAGCTGAAAATGAAAACAAATCCACTACAGCCAGAATACAACCTTGAGTTTATCCCACCTGAATTTCAAATCTCAAGAACAGATTAATGCATTGAACACCAGTGACAGAAGTCGAGTTGTGGGACATCGATAATATTCATAAAGAAAGGAAAAGGTCATTCAAAAGGAAAGAAAAGATCAAAATGGATATCTAAAGAGATTCTGAAACTAGCTCTTGATTGTAGAGTAGCTAAGTCAAATGGAAGAAATTAAGTGAAAGAAATGAAATAAATGAAGTCAAAGTGTGGAATAGAAAATTTCAAAGAGCAGCTCGAGAAGACAAAGCCAAATATTAAAATGAAATTTGAGAAGACCTAGAATTAGAATAATAAAAGGGAAGAACATGGTCAGCATATCTTGAACCGAACTAAAAAAATCCAAGCCTCAAGTGGCAATATTGTAAGATTCTCTGGGCAAAATATTGAGTGATATAGGAAGCTTCAAAAGAAGATGGAAAGAAAACACAGTCACTACCAAAAATAACTAGTTGACTTTCCACCTTTCCAGGAGGTAGCATATGAGCAAGAACCAATGTGCTGAAGGAAGACGTTCAAGCTGCACTGAACGCATTAGCCAAAAGCAAGGTTCCAGGAATTGATGGAATACCAATTGAAATGTTTCATCAAGCTGATGAAACACTTGAAGCACTCATTCATCTATGTTAACAAATTTCAAAGACCGCTACTTAGCCAACTGACTGGAAGAGATCCATATTTGTACCCATTTCAAAGAAAGGTGACCCAACAGAGTGCTTAAGTCATAGAACAATATCACTGACCGCACGTGCAAGTGCAATTTTGCTGAAGACCATCCAATAATGGTTGCAGCAGTACATGGATAGGGAGCTGCCAGAGGGTCAGGTCAGGTTCAGAAGAGGACTTGCAACAAGGGATATCATTACTGATGCCATATGAATCTTGGCTGAAAGCAGAGAATACCAGAAAAATATTTACGTGTATTTTACTGATTATGCAAAGGCATTTGACTGTGTGGATTATAATAAACTATAGATAGCCTTGAGAAGAATGGGAATTCCAGAGTACCTAATTGTACTCATTCGGAACCTGTGCATGAATCAAGAGGCAGTTGTATGAACAGATTAAGAGTTTGAAATCAGGAAATGTGTGGACAGGGCTATATCCTCCTAAGTTGGCTTATATGAAGAAGAATGGCATCAGGATTGAAGGAAGGCTTATTAACAACATGAGATATGCAGATATCACAACCTTGCTTGCTGAAAGTGAGCAGGACTTGAAACACTTGCTGATGAAGATCAATGATTGTAGCCTTCAGTGTGGATTACAGCTCAATGTACAGGAGACAAAAATCCTCACAACTGGACCAATAGGTAACATCATGATAAATAGAGAAAGTATGGAAGTTGTCAAGGATTTTATCTTGCTTGGATCCAGTCAATGCCCATGGAAGCAACAGTCAAGAGATTAAATGATCCACTGCATTGGGCAAATCTGCACAAGACCTTTTTAGCATATTGAAAAACAAAGGTGTTACTTTGAGGATTAAGGTGTACCTGACCAAAGCCATGGTATTTTCGATTGCCTCGTATGCCTGTGAAAGCTGGACATTGGCTAAGGAAGACGAAAGAAGAACGGATGCGTTTGAATTACGGTGCTGGAGAAGAATACCATGGCTGACAACTGAACTAACAAATCTGTCTTGGAAGAAGTACAGCCGTAATCCTTCTTAGAGGCAAAGATGGTGAAACTTTGTCTCACGTACTCTGGCCTTGTCAGGAGAGCCCAGTCCCTGGAGAAGGACACCGTGCTTGGTAAGGTGGAGGGGCGGTGATAAAGAGGAAGGCCCTCGACCAGATGGACTGGCACGGTGACTCTAATAACAGGCTCAAATACATGAACATTTGTGAGGATGGCCCAAGACCAGGCAGTGTTTCACTCTTGTACATAGGCTCACTGTGAGTCAGAACTGATTTGATGGCAGCTAACAACAATTCTGGTTGTATAATGCCTGCGTCATAAAAGCTTTTAAGATGTATTGGTCTCTATTCGTCTGGGACAACAGAGGAAGGTGGGTCAGGAAGAGGAAGTTGAATGTGTGGCTAATTATTTTCATGAACAACACCCTCCTTTGCCATGAAACTGGAAAAATTGGGTAGTTGTTGCCCAATCCTTCAATAAAAGAAACCTCACCAAAAGGGGGAAAATGCAGAACAGAGTTGGAAATTATCATAGACTTATAGAGCCATGGAGAATGAATGAACTCCCAAAACTATTACCCTGAGATAATCTTTAAGCTTCACACCAAAGACATCCTCTGAAGTCTTAAAATCCAACAATAATTTAGCTGAACTAGTGAAAAACAAAAGGTCAGCCGTGAGCATAATGCTCTTTTAAGAATTATGTATGTGAGATCAAATTGACACCAACAGAAATTATATAGCATCATATATGATCTTTTAAAATTATATATAGCAGCAAGTTTATGTTATGAGGGAGGAAGAGCTCAGAGAAGGGGGTGAAAATGGTTGCATAGCTCAATGTAACCACGGTCATAGAATTGTACATATAGAAATGTATGGATTTGGTGTGTTTTGCATACAAAACAAATGAAATTTAAAGGGAAAAGAGCTCTCAATCGTCTCTAATTGACCTTTTAGTTTTAAAATGAATAAACCTAAATATTTAGATAAGTATAATTGATCATGAACCACATTAAAGACTCTTGCATGAGGATGTCATCAAAACTAGTAAAATAATCCCTAAGTGGGAAATGCTTTGGAAACTGCCCACTTGGGGGCGTCAGGTCAAGGTGGGAAATTCACAAATGAGATCACCTTTGAGGGTCATGGGTGAATCCACATGGCTCAAAGGGGAGGAAGACCCAGCAAAGGAAGTGGTTCTTTTAAATAACGTATTTTATTTCTTCAGAGCTTACACAGGAACTGGAACTTTAGTGGTAAAGTAACCAGTTGCTAACAGGCCAGTAGATCCAGCCTGCCCGCCAATCCAGGAGAGAAAGACATGGCAGTGTGTTGCGGCAAAGAATTACAGCCTTGGAAACCTTATTGGACACTTCTACATTGATCTGTAGCGTCACTATGAGTCGGAATCAACTCAGCAGCACAGTTTAACAAAAAATAGAACTTACCATTCACTACTGTAGTGATGGACGTCAGGTTGATAAAGTTCTGAAAGAGCAAAGTCCCTGCACACAGACACAAAAACTACCAGTACTGGGGAGCGGATGCCATGAGGGCAGGGAGGAGAGCCGGAGAAGAAACAACAGCAAATTTTAATTAACTAATTTGGCCAGCCAAAGGCAAATTGTTTCCCATCGCTTTTGATTTGCTTGAATTGACCAACTATTTTGACTATTTCTTTTTTTAAAAATTTATTTCTTTTTTTTACTATCTCCTGTACGGTATCTTTGAGATATATTGCTCTTTGTTATTAATTAGAATGTCAATTATATATTAGGAGCTCGGGTAGCACTGCAAGTTAGGCATTGCTAGGCTGCTAATGCCAAAGTCAGCAGTTCGAATCCACCAGCTGCTCTGTGGGAGAAAGATGAAGCTGTCTCCCTCGGGGAAGGTTGCAGTCTCAGAACCCCCATCCAGGCTTGTGACCCTCTGCCATCAAGTCGATTTTGACTCTGTAGGACATAGTAGAGCTACTCCCTAGGGTTTCCAATGCTGTCCAATTCTACGGAAGCACTTTTACAAACTGCCTCATCGCTTGTCTGTGAAGTGGCTGGTCAAACTTAACCGTGTGATTAGCAGCCCTGTGCTCTCACCACTGCACGACCAGGACTGTCCGGGAGCACAGTAAGCTGTCTTAACTTAAGGTTTTTTCCAACTAAAACTTTGAACAAAGGAGCTTCCCTTTAGTCCGTAAAAGTGAAAACCAAATTCGCTGCCATCGAGTCAGTTCCTACTCACAACTGCCCCTGTGGGTTTCCGAGACTAAATCTTCACAGGGACAGAAAGCCTCATCTTTCTTCTGGGAAGTGGCTAGTGGGTTTGAACTGTTGACCTTACCATTAGCGCCAAACTTGGAACCCAGTGTGCCACCAGGACTCCTTAAAGTCTAAGTCCCTGAAGGGGATGGGCACTAAGCTGTGTGCAGTGGATGGTTACTGTAATGCTGACTAACCTAGAGGTAAGCTTAATGTTTTTGTCTCCAGGCTGCTTCTCCCTGCCACTGTTGAGACCCTAATGTGAAAAGTCTGCAGCACAGAGTTCAAGAAAGTCACTCGGGTCAAATTCAGATTTCATTCCCAGCCCTTAAGACATAAGTAAAACCAGTTTCCCTCATTCAGACTGTCAACATTCAAAGCACACCCAGAAGCAGAGATGCTACATCCAGATAGTATGGCTGCCTTCTATATTTTGGAAGGTCCCTGTGTGCATGATGGGTCAGTGTGTGAAGCTCCTCAGGGGAAAGGGCAAATCTTATTGCATAACCCAGCCTTTGTCTGACTTCTTTCTATAGAGAGCTAGTAAGTAAAACTTTTCATCTTTCATGAGCAGAGTATATACCTTGTCACCTCCCAACAGTCAAGCAGGTGGGAATGATGGCAATTTGTTAAAGGGGAAGTTGCACCGTGAGGCTGAGTGATGACCTTCTTCACTCTCCTTAATCTTCGTCCTTTCACCTTTCTATGAGACAAATGATTGAAATTACATGTCTGTGTGTGTGTGGTTCCTTTCGCAGATCTAATGATGAAAGAAGAAATCTCAGAAAATACTTGATTTTTTTTTCCCTCTTGAGAAAAGTTCAGGGGAGCCCTGGTGGCGTGGTGGTTACGCACTGGGCTGTGATCCTCAGAGAAAAGTTCAGGAATTGCTGTGCATGAGTCTCTACTGTAGTGTGATTACCACTTATCCCATTGTATTTTCTCCCCTTTCCCTTTAAGAACAACTCGGACTGGATGGGAAAGCATTTGGTTAGAGGTGGCTAACAATCTCTCACTACCTGCCTAGTTTCAAAGGGGAGTCTAAAAAGACCAAGTTTCACTTTTAAAAAATCACTTATTTTTACTAAAACTAACTTGGTTTCTGCAGAAGAAAGCCAGAGAAGAAAGATGAAAAGCAGCTCATTAAATCTCATAAATCAATGTGTCAGGTAATCCTCATGGCTTAGCCAAGTGACACCTTCTTCAGATCCAACAGCTGAATTTGCATGTCAACACCTCAGGGGAAATTCATTGGAACCATAATGGCAGAGACACTGATTGTCATCACCTTGACTACCCCCCAGTTTCTCAGTTAGTCTTCTTTCTACACCGTCTCTGAGCTACCAGTATGTGGAACTGGAGTGAAATCTGTAATTGTCCTTCTATCATGCAGATAGAAATAGGCTCAATTTAACTCTGAACCCTCTTGTGGCCTACCTTTAACGGTATGTGTTGTATTTTCTTAGCTTTCCAACATTTTCTTTTCTTTCGCTTATGATAAATGGCAATGGATAAAAGTAGGGCCAGGGTGAAGAAGAAGCAGCAAACAAAGAATATCAGTGGTTTCTTCTGCGCAAGAAATAAGCAGACGGCGCATTTTGGGTTTCCTGGGGCCGGCCCGCATCTAGAGCTGCTGTTGTCTGCAGGGAAGCCATTGCTGCTGCTCAGCTTGCTGTAGAGCTGTGTTGAGGATTTCGCTTTGAAATCAGGTGTGAAGAATCCAAATCTGGGTTTGGCTTTTTCTTCAGTCAGCTTGAATGCATAATAGCCTTTGAGTTTGATTTTATCAATCTGGTATGCTGAAAAACATCACAAAGGAGTTTTATTAGTCACGGAGGGAAAAGGAGCTGTCATTGACAGCTTTAAAGTGCTGAAGCTCAAGGATGTCACTTTGAGGATTAAGGTGAGCCTGGCCCAGGCCATGGTATTTCAGTTGCCTCATATACAAGTGGAAGTTGGACCTTGAATAGAGAAAACCAAAGAAGTAATTGATCCTTCTGAATTATGCTGTGCTGGGGTCAGACCCAACCCAGGGATGCATATGGTAGCCAATTATAAAGGAGGGGAACAAAGAAGAAAAAGATGGGGGCAGTGGGGACACAGGGCACTAACTCACCCAGTGGGGAGGGTATTGCTTATGTTTCCACAGGAAAGGGAAAGAGGGACCAGACCTCATCCCAGTGTGCCAAGCCTTGAGGGCAACATACCAGCATGGAGTATCAAACTAATAGAGAGGACTGTGCTGGTCCCAATTCCAGCTACATTCACCCCCACCCCAGAAGAATGCACTACAGAGGACAGAACTGAAGATACAGCCCAGGGAGAATGGCAGGTCTGCCCAGACCACACCGAAGCAAGCTAAGAGAAAGAGAGAGAGAGAAACCACAACCCAGCCCACCAACCCTGGAGGACAAAGTCCTGCTCAGAGCAGCCAGTGCAGGAGCCATAATGTCTCCTCACTGTCCACTGCAGGGGATAGCCCTGGAGACACAGTGCGGGCTTTGTGCCTGTTCCGATATCCCCCCACCCCACCCCCAACACCGGGGCAAAAGACGAAGGGAACACAACAGAGCAGCAAGGGGAGCAAAGCGACGAAGTCCCCGAGGAATCCCCAAAATAGACTTCTGCTTGTTAGGCAGGGCTTGGCACCTCATCTGACCCAAATGGAAAACATTCATAAGTTTCAAACAGACCTGCAACTATTTATAGGGTTTGTTTGTTTTTTCTTTTTCATACCTATCTGTATTAGAAGAGAAAACAATGGGACTGATGGATCCAGGGGAGAGGAGGAGGTGGGGAAAAGGGAGGGGGGTGCCAACAAACCAGGGACGGGCACAACAAGAGATCTGAAATTGATGGTGAGGTGGGTATAGAATACTTGGTGGGGCTTGATTAAGTGCAATGTAGCCGAGAGGAATTACTGATAGCCTAATGAAGGTCAAACATGATAGTGGGACAGGAGGAAAGTAAAAGGAAATAGAGGAAAGAACCATTTACAGATATATAAATATAGCCATGTATATATATAAATATATTAATATGTAATGATAGGGATATAGGTCAATGTACATATATTTATGTTAAGTATTGAGGTAGCAGACAGACACTGGGCTTGTATTCAAGTACTCCCTCAATGCAAGAACTTTGTTCTAATAAACTAGCATTCTGTGATGCTCACCTTCACGATCATTGAAGACAAAATGGGAATGTAGGCAAATGTGGTGAAGAAAGCTGATAGTGTTATTAAAAGATATACCGTCTGGGATTTTAAGGGCTTGAAGTTAAAACAAGTGGCCATGTAGCAGGGAAGCAACATTGCCCACATGGAAGAAGCATAGAAGCCTGTGTGATCATGAGGTGTTGACATGATCAGGTATCAGGCATCAGAAGACCCCAAACAACCAATTATGTCAATGCAAATAAGGGAGTTTGGAGTGGAGACCCAAAGCCCATCTGTAGACAAGTGGATATCCCCTCACAGAAGGGTCACAAGGAAGGGATGGGCCAACCAGGATGTAGTATAGCACCAGCGAAAACACACAACATTCCTCTAGTTCTTTAATGCTTCCTCCCCCTAACTATTATGACCCCAGTTCTACCTTACAAATCCAGCTAAACTGGAGCATGTACACTGGTACAGAAAAGAGCTCTTGACACAGAATCCAGGACAGATAAACCCCTCAGGAACAGTAATGGGAGTAGCAATACCATGAGGGTAGGGGGAAGGTGGAGGGAGGAAGAAGGAACCAATCGCAATGATCGATGTATAACACCCTCCCAAGGGGGATGAACAACAGAAATGTGGGTGAAGGCAGACAGCAGATGGTCTAAGATATGAAAATAATAATTTATAATTTATCAAGGGTGGAAGGGTGGGGAGAGGAGGAAAAAAAGCTGATAACAGGGCTCAAGTAGAAAGTTTTGAAAATGATTATGGCAACATATGTACAATTGTGCTTGATACAATTGCTGTATAGATTGTTATAAGAGATGTAAGCACCCTCAATAAGAAGATTTATATATGTAAAAAAAAGAATGATAATGCTGGTAAAGAACATTGAAAGTACCACGGACTGCCCAAAGAACCGACACATCTGCCTTGGAAGAAGTGCAGCCAGCATGCTCTGCGGAGGCAAGGATGGCGAGACTTCTGACGTTATTTGGACGTGTTACCAGGAGAGACCAGTTCCTGGGAAAGGACATCGTGCTTAGTAAAGTAGGAGGGCAGTGAAAAAAAGGCAGAAGACTGTCAAGGAGATGGATTGACACATGGCTGTAGCAAAAGGCTCAAAGATAAGACAATTGGGAGGCGAGTGCAGGGCCGGGGAAGTGTTTTGTCCTATTGGGTAGCAATGAGTTGGAACTGACTTGATGGCACCTAACAACAGCAGCAGCTAAAATCTTGGAATCATTCTGGACTCTTTTCTCATATGCCACATTCCACCAGTCCTACTGATTCTTCTTACCATCTCCACTCTTAAGATTTTGGTGCAAGCCATCATTGTCTCTTGCCTAGACTATTCCAAATATTCCTGTTTCTGTTCTTATTTCTGTTCAGTACACCCAAAGAAGAGCAGCCAGCGTGATTCTTTTAAAACCTGTTAGATCAGTCACCATTCTATATACACCTTCCCCGTGTCTTCCTCTGCTCATAGCACCCTTACAGGACAGAGTAGAACTGCCCCTGTGGGTTTCTGAGAGTGTATATCTTTACAAGAGGAGAAAGGCTCATCTTTCTTTATCGGAGAGGCTGGTAAATTTGAACTGCCCACTTTGTAGTTAACAACCTTACTTGTAGCCATATAAGGTTGCTATGAGTCAGAATTGACTCAATGGCAGTTTGTGTTGTGGGGGTGTCTTCCTAGCTCGATCAGAATAAGAGCCACAGTTCTTAAAATAGCTTACTAAACCCTATAAAGTCTGTTATTCCCTTACTTATTTGACCTTTTCTTCTCTGATTGTGATAGTTTGGTTTATTGTGCCAACCTGGCCAATAAGAACATGTGGGATCTCCACTCAAGTACTCCCTCAACGCAAGAATACTTTCTTCTATTAAATTGGCATTCTATGATGCTCACCTTCCCGACACAACC